CAGGCATTTTTCCCCGTTCACCTGGGTGTTAGTCGACTGGGTGGGGTTGCATCCTGGGAGACAAAATTAAGGACCCAATGGAAATAAGTTAAGACAGTCTTCGATGACACTGACTTTTTTGGGTTATCCTGGGTGGCAAATCCTCTGGGGTTAATGTTTCTTGGTATTTTTCAATAAGCCACACCAACAACGGTGCTACAGCAGCAGCAGCAGCAGCAGCAGCTGACAGTGCTACAGCAGCAGCAGACGATGCTACAGCAGCAGCAGACGGTACTACAGAGCAGCAGGACGGTACTACAGCAGCAGCAGCAGCTTTACGGTGGTACAGCAGCAGCAGCTGACGGTGCTACAGCAGCAGCAGCAGCTGACAGTGCAGCAGCAGCAGCTGACAGTGGTACAGCAGCAGCAGCAGCTGTACCCCAATAGTAGCGATGCTTGATTGGGGTTTATTATAAAACCTGGCCAGCTCGGAGAAAAGCACCCCACTTTCATACTTATCAATGTTTCCATTTTCTTCATTCTATAGTAATTCTCACCCTTATTGCTGGGGGGTTTGGCCCAAAAGTTTTCTTGGGGCCCATGGCACTTTTTTTGAGATAAAATCCCCAAAAAACACTGAAAAATAAAAAAAAATTTCCCCCCCCCCGAAATTTTTCCCGATTGTATGCTTGGATTTACCACGGGGGCGGGCTGGAAAAAACAATCCCAAAACCGGCGGCACATGTGAGGTGGCTAAGGCGCACATTGGACCGTTTTTGGGCCCCCGAACAGCGGGTGAGGGGGTTTTTTGGCGGTATGCAAAGGAAAAATTTTTTTGCGATAAAAGCGAGCGGGGTTATGCGGTTTTTTTAAAACTTTTATGTGATGCCGACGGTATGGGGGGGGGTCCACTGTTTTTATGTATGTATGTTGTATGGTTTGAAATTTTGGGTATATTTATAAATATTATTTTTAAAATTTTTTTAATATATATTATATATATATATTTTTTAATTTTAAAATTTATATACGTGGCCCCCCGGGTTAAACGATTTTTTTTTCACCCCAAAAGTTGTTCAGGTCCCAAAGTACTGCCCTGAATTTTTTCCCCTTTGGGAATATTGTAAATTAAAATTAGCCCATTTCAGACCCCCCAAACATACCGGTAAAAAGCACTTAAAAATAAAAAAACCTTACAAAAATTGGGTCGCTTTTCCCAGGGTTTGGCGTTATGGGGGGGGGCCCCTGTATATATATAAATATATATATATATTTATTTTTTTTTTTTTTTCAACAATTCAGCCTTTCCCACCGAGGCAAATAAAAAGATATTCCCCCCAAATTTTGATTTAAATTAAAAAAACATATAAAAAAATTTTCCCATAAAGAACATACTGAAGCCCTTTTCTTTATATGTAGTACAATTTCTAAATAATGGGGGGCACCCCAAAAAAAAAAATATCCTGCCAAAAAAACTGTTCTTTTAAATAATTTTTTTAAATTTTATAAAAAATTATAAGGTACAATAAAGGGTCAAAGTTTAATTGATCCTTGAAAAAAAAAAAAATTTGCTTCATACTTTAAAAATTTTAAAAACTGTAACACAATTTAGTTTTTGATAGGGGCAAATCTAGTCTCTTTTTTTGATTTTCCATGTATCTTTAATGAAATCCTTTTCTGCTGTAGTTTTTCAAGGCCTTAAATTTACAAATCGCCCAAAGGGCCCTTTGGAATTTTTGGGTGCCTACAAAGACCCAAGGGATGGGCACTTTTTTTTTTAAAATTCCAAAAAAAGGGAAGTAACTGCCATCATTGGATAGCAAGAACCCGGGAACCGGGTTTCCTGCTTCCGAAGGGTTTTCTTTTCTCCCTTTTCCCAGCATTTGGGGAATTTGGTTAAAATTTCAATGTCTTGATCAAAGAACACAAGACCAAAATTTTTGGGCACTTTTCCTAAAAATATGTTCTTGGCCACTCTACATAAGTTGCGGGGCCCAAAGGGGACCTTCTCCTAAAACATGTCTTTCAATTCTTTTTTCCTTGTCGGGGGCTTTTTGCTTTTTTTGGAGCCCTTTTCCTTTTTTTTAAAATTTTTCAGGTCCCCAAAACCCTGCTTTGAACCCTGCCCAAACACGAAAAGAGACAATCAAAATCTTGAGATAAATATTTTTCAACCGAAACTGATAAAAAAAGGAAACCTTTCCTTTTTTGGAGGGGTTTTAAAATTCTTTTTCCAAAATTTCTAAGATTTGCTGTTTTTATGTGATCACATTTCACCAGAGAATCCCCCGGCTACTGCATTCATCCGGGTTCGAACCAAGGGGGCCCACACTGGTGCTTTAAAGACGAGATTACATTACAAAGCCCTGAATCCCAAAAAAAAACCATTTTAAAACGGAAACAAGTGCTGGTTTTTGAAAGACCATAGACATCATAAAATTCAATAAAGAAAACCGGGCCCAAGGGGACGCCAAAAACTCCCATCTAATATTGCCCTTTTTACGTGTTATATTTAAAGGGAAAGTCTGTGTTCTCTAAATCCCAGAACTTTTTAAGTTGGGGCATTCCCACCACTTAACAATTTGGCCATTGGGGGGTAGGACAAAATGCAACTACGGAAGAAAGACCCCAAATTGTGTGCCGGGAAAAAAAATTTTAAAACGGGATATAAGGTGAAATTATTTTGGTTTATCACTTTAAATTTTACTAAAGGGGGAAAGAACAACCAAATCCCCCAAAAGTATTAAAAACACCAATGAAAAAAACTCCAGCAACATAAGAATGTCCCCCTTTCCCCCCGGCCCCAGTCAATATTTAAAACACGGGCTTTATCTTTATAAAGTCTTCCGGGCTTGTGTTTCTTTTGGAATGCCTTGTATATTCCTGCATCTGACAAAATAAACGTTACTATAGGGGTGGAACTGAAAATATAGTACAGTTCCATCAGGGGAAAAAGCCCGCAGCTAAAAAAAAACCCAAACTGGTAAAGTAACTGTCTTCCCTACAAGGGTTCATCAAAAAAATCGAAAATACCCCCAGGGGGGAAACCCTACTTTAAAGAAACCCTACATTTCCAAAGTCTTTGGGGAATAAACCCAAAAAAAAAATTTTGGCCCGGGTTTTTTCACCATTTCCCAAAAGGTATTGGGGAATGCCCAAAAACTTATCAGGGCCTTTATGAACAGCTGATTTAAAAAAAATGTGATATTTCTCTTCGGTGAGGAGAGAAAAGACACAGCCAAAACTGATATCTGAAGAGAGAGAGATGATTTAAGGCTGGGGGCACCCTGCAGAAAGCTACAATTTGGTTTCCCCCACAGAATATGGGGATAACCTTTTTTCCCTTTTTTTTGCCCCCATTTAAAATGATTTAATTTTGCCAAATTTTTATGGGTTGCTTTAATTTCCCCTAGTCACCTTTTTAATTTTAAAATTTTGGGGCTATGCCCTTAAAACCGATGGTAAAAAATTTGCAGCTAGTTGTTCATGGAGCACATCCCAAAAATTTTTTCAACACAGGAAGCTTTAAAAAAAGATTTTCTGAAACCCGTTTTTGGTTTTAAAAATTCCCGGTCCAAAAATTAGTGAAGGGAGAAAGGCTTTATTTTTCCAACCCGGGGTTTTGGCCTTTAAATTTCCCAGTTAAATTCCTTAAATCTTATTTTCATCATCTGATTTTTCCCCCAATGTAAATTTTTCCAAGGATGTTTTTAAATACTTTAAGGGATGAGCTAAATGATGTGGTTAATAATGTCGCTTCTATAACGTTTAAAAAAGTTCAAACTTTACAGTTGAAAGTCTTTTTAGTAAGCAAAAAAGGGACAATTCTGAAAGTGTTACTCCCCCTATAAAAAGGGTTTCAAATGAAAGGGGTGCTCCTTTATTAACACAAGATCTTTCCCGTGATTAGCAATTTTTCAAACTTTCCCTCTTCCCTTTTTGCATTCCTCCCCTGACCTTCCCTTCAGTCTCCCCCAATTTTTTGAACCCTTTTAAAGGTTGAGTTCCTTATGATATTTATCTTCAGCCAAACACATGCCCTTTTCAAAACTACCAGTTCTGGTGCTGGTGCCATAATTCAATCTGGGATTGCAGTTTTTTCTGAGCCAAAACCCTTTGGTTTTTGGTTTTAAGGTTGAGGGCGGGTTTAAATCTGGCCCTTTTTTTTGGGCTGTACCAGTTTTTCCCCCCGTGCTTATTTTTTTGTGGGCATCTTCTTTCCCAAAAATCTAAATTCTCTATGACATTTTTTTTCAAGCACATTAAGATCTTCTTGGGTTTTCTTTCCCCAAAATGTAAAATTTTTGTTTTTTTGAATTCCCACGGGACTTTTCCGAAATTTAAATTTAAAAATTTTTGTAATTTCAGGGGTTTTACCTTGCTTTTATTTTACTGACAAATATAAACCTTAAACCCCATCTTCCCGTAAATTTTGGTTTTTCGCCATCAGGGCTTGCTAAAACCCTTGTGGTCCCGTTTGAGCAAAGCAAAATGAAGTTCCTTTTATTAAAAATTACCCATGAAACCCATTTTTCCACATTTTTCTTCACCTTTTGACGAGGTTTTTAAATATAATTTCCTTTTTTTTTTTTAGCTTTCAAAAACCTTTACTTTTTTCCCACGCCTTTTTGGGCAAGGGTAAAAGGTAAAAGTACTCTGTTTCCCCCGGGCCCTATTTTTTTTCTTGGGGTTCATCCAAACCAAATGGCAAGAAACATTTTTCCTTATCATCTTCACATTTCAGGGGAATTTTATGGAAGGTAATCAGATATTGTTTTTCCACTAATCTAAAATATTTCTGACTGAAGTCTACTATCTGGCTGACTTAATTCTGTTTTTACTCTGACTTCTTCACCTTCATCATTGAATTCCAGCAATCCTGTTTTCTTTAAAACAATTGGATCTGCCACAGCCTCCTTTGAGTTCATAAACTTCACAGGTGAGTATGCTGAAAATTTGTAACCACTATTAATTTTACTGCGTGGAGAAGAGGCATCAGTTACGAGACCATCCACCAATCTTTAAGCTTCAGTTTTCTGCCCACCACGTGACACATGCTCAAATTTTTCTACTGCTGATGACTTCTCATCACCTTTATTAATATTCTTGATGAGGTGATTTCTGCTGAATTTTTCAACACTCTCACAAGTTTCTCTCAAGTTTTCTAAATTTTCATTTGTAAAAAAAGACCACTTATCAATCATGGCCTGATCTTTCAGCAGTTTTTCCCTGTGATTTTTCAGCCATTTAAATATTATAAAAAACCCATGTCATTTTGGTATAGGTTCACTTCTCCCAATGAGAAATTTAAAATTTCAAAAAAGGCGCTGGACTGTCGCAAACTTCACTCATTCACCCTTTTTCCCCTTCCCTTCCTTTTCCCCCTCTTCCCTTCCCCTTCCTCTCCCCTTTTTATCTTCCCCTACCTCCCTTTCCCTCAAACCTTTTATGCGGGTTTTATTTTCTTAAAAATCTTGAGATTTTGAAAATCCCACAATTTTATTACCTTCCTCTTTAAAACCAAGTGGGGTTTTTCATTTCATTCTCACATTGCATGACTATGTTTAAACTGGCTTCGAAACATTTTTGTAACTTTTCTATGATTTCTTTAATCACAGTTTGTTTTAACGGAACCCCTTTTTTTTCTTTTTCATTTAAAAAACATTTTAAACCCTTTACTATTTCTTGGAAGGAAAAGCTCAGGAGTTTTTATGTGATGATCATGGGCTTGTCCCCCCCCTTTCAAAATTTTTTTTACTTTCCCCCATCTGATACAAAGCCAAAACCCAAACTTGCATCTATTTCTTTATTATTTAAAATAAAGGGTTTTTTCATTTTTTTAAAAACGTCACTTAAAAATTTTTTTCCCGCTTTAACCCACCCTTACAAAACTGAAATCTGAAGGGTGACCCAAAATTTTTTATTTCCCTTTAAAAATTTAAATTTAATCTTTCCCACATTTTTAGTTAAATGTTTTTTTCTTCTTTCTTTTCATTTTTAATATCTATTACTTTTGTCTCTAAAACATTCTTTTCTTTTTCATTTAATATTTTTTTTGTATTTGTTTTAAAATTTTCTTTTTTTTCTGAAATCAAAGCCCATTTTTGGGGGATTTGAGTAAACCTGTTTTAGTTTTTTGTGACAACAAACCCTTCAGCTGTTTTCTAAAAGGGGAAAATTTTCAAAACCCCGCATCCTTAGAAAGAAAACCCCTGGGTAAAAACTTTCATCAGCTGGCTGCCTAAAAGTTTTCCTGATTCTGATTTTTCTTTGCTTTTTGCTCTTTTTGATTGATATCACTCACACCGGGAATTTTGTTGAAACTCGCCTTCTTCCACTAAATTTAGATACATGCTTTTGTTTTTTTTATTTTAAATTTTTGATCTATTTTTGAACCCCTACCACTAAAGGGAATATAAAATTTTCCCCTTCATTTTTTTCTTTTTTCCCTTCATTTTGCCTTTCAAATCCAATTATGTCTTTTTAACATCTTAGAGAATCTACCTTTTCCCCTCACAATCCCCAAAAGGTTTCTTAAAAACACATTAAAATCAAAATGCTCACCACTTTTCTTAAAAAGAAATTTCTTTTTTGTGAGGACTTGAAAAATTCCCCCTTTTACATAAGTGAATATTCAATTTCAGCTCTTCCTTCCACGAACTTTTAGATTCCTTCATGGGGCTTTTATCCCCCTTTCTAAATTAAAACTGGAACCAGAATTGACGCTTTTTAAAACATAAAGTTTTATCCCTAATGCGGGCCTGCATCTGAAAGCAAATTTTATGCTCCCTGCTGCTTTTTCCATTTCCTTTCATATGGGTGTTTATACCCCCCATGCCGTCATCTTTAATTTCCCAGAGATTTTCTTAAAAGGGGTTGTTAAAAAGGCCAAATTTTAAAATTTTTGTCAGAAATTCCCCTAAAAAAAGCCCCAAATTTGAATTTGCACACTCACATGCTTAACAGAGGGTGGATAGGTGGGGCCTATGAAAAAATAAATTTTTCTAGGTGAATTCAAAAAAATTTGGGATCTGGGATGGCGATTGATACTTTACTTAAAGGGACAGCAAAAACACCGGATTAAAATTTGGTGAATTTTTCCGGGCCCAAATGGATCAAACTAAACCCAAAATCTGGGGGAGCAAAAAATTCTGCCTTTGAACACTGTCATCACCAAAACCAAAATTACAATATTTTTTGCTTCTGGACAGCTACATGAGACCCCGTTGGGGTTTGAATACATTACCTTTCCAACATTTCAGTTGCTTGGTAAATTTGGGTTAGGACGTTCATCCCAGGGAATTTTAAATTAAAACAAATTGTTCTCTCCGGGCAAATGCTGATCTAATTTTTGTGGCCTTTGTGATACATGCCTAAAAGTGTTTTCTTTTGACTGCTGAACTTCCTCAAATTTTGTTGGCCCACCCTAAATTTAAAAATTGTAGGGGGCCCCTATGAGAATTTAAATCCTTGAAATTTTTGGCCAGGAAATTGCCCATCTCAAAATTTTGAAAAAAAACAATTTTCAGCTGATGCTGTCTTACCCAATTTACCATAACTTTCTCATCAGAAATTAATTTTGTTGTTTGCCCTCTGGGGTTTCCGGGGTATCAGCAGATGTTTGTAACCAAGGGCCCGGTTAAAAAAGTCTGATAAATTTTCATTGTTTTTAAACTGCAAATTGGGAAAAGGAGATGTCTGAAGAGAACAGTGGATTTGCCCTAAGTACAGGAAAGATATCTAAGAGATGGCAAAGATGCTGAGAAAAGGGCGTACTTGGGGGGCAGAGTTGGTATGTTGCAAGTGAGAATGATGCAGGGGAAAAAACAGGTTTTTTGATGCTGGGGGGGTTTTTGGGGGCACTCTTTTTAAGTGTGGGGAAAAAAAAAGGTGATGAACAAGATCAGGGAAAGTGGTTGGCATGCATATGAATCAGAATAGGGTTTTACAAGATGAAAGGGATCAAAGGGAAACTTTACTGCAAAAATTTTCAGGGGAAGGGGCTTGCTGGTGATGCTGACTTGGGGTGTTCTAAAAAATTTGTTTAAAAATACGGAAGAATATTTCGATGATACCTTTTCCCAAAGAGAGTCCCAGATAGCTGTTTATGGGGGTTTTTGCTAGACAGTCCCGGGGGTGTTTTTTCTGGTGACTGTTGGGACTCTCTATGTGGTGTGGGTGTTTTTTGGGTTTCTGGTTGTTTTTCTTAAGATTTAGGACGGGGGAAATTTATAAACTATCGGTAATTTTCTATTTTTTTGGCAAAACCCCAAATGGGCCTTTTTTTGGGGATGCTGATGCAAAGCTGGTAAAGCTGAGTGGGAATGTTAAATGAAGCAGGTTGGGGGAATGATGAATTCTGATGTACTGTTTTGGTTTAAATTTCTGTGCCGTGGGTTGGGGAAACAGTTTTGTGTTTGGTGATGCCCTGTGTCGTGTTGGGGATGCAGTGGGGTCGGTTTAAGACGCAGTGTGTGTTGGGTTGGGGATGCAGTGTGTCGTGCTGGTGATGAAGTGTGTCGGGTTGGTGACCAGTGTGTCGTGTTGGTGAAGCAATGTGCCCGCCTTGGTTACATGTGGGGCCCGGTGATGCATGTTTTTGGGGGGCTGGGGAAATTTAACTTTTTAAATTTTGAAGTAATATTGGGGGACTGGTGAAACAAAGTTTAGTGCTGGTAGGGAATTTTTAGTGCTGGGGAGCAACATTTGGCCCTGGGGATGCCAAAGTGTGGTTTCTGGTGATGAATGTGTGGGAATGGGATACAATGTGTGGCACTGGGGATGCAATTTTTTGGGACGGTGATGCAAAGTTTGGGACTGGTGATTTGGGAAAGTGTGGTGCTGATGATTCAGTGTGTTTGCGGGGATTTTTAAGGCGGTGGTGATCCCGTAAGTAGTGCTGGTGATGCAGTGTGGCATCGGGGATGCAGGGTAAATTTTTGGGGATGCAGTGGGGGGAAGTTGGTGATGCAATGTTTATGTCATGATGCAGATTTTCTGCTGTGGAGCACATGGTAGGTGATGCAGGTGGCATCATGTGCAGATGTGACATCACAATGCCCGTGTGTTGGGGTTGGGAAAGCAGTTGCAGTGTTGGGGGTCGTGGGGCAGTGCTGTTATGTGGATTTCGTTTTGGGGGAAACAGATGGTTTGGGATCAGTGATAAAGTGTGTGGCAAAGGGGAGCACTGGTGCCCCGGGGATGTAGAGTGTCGTATGTTGAAGTTTGGGGCCAGGTAGGTGATGCCCCGGTGCACAAATGATGCAAATGTGACATCACTGGGTCAGTGTGGGGCGTCGTAAAGCCCGTTGGCCCGTGTTGGTGATCAATGTGCAGTGCGGGTTTATTTGGATTTCAGTGTGGGTGATGCAGAGTTTGGGATCAGTGATAAAGTGTTTTGGCGCAGTGATCAGAATGTGGCTCGGGGATGCGGGAAAGTGGCCTCAGTGATGCAGTGTGGGCCGTTTAGCACTGTGTGGCCCCCGGGATGCAGAGTGTCCCTGGGTTTTGAAAATGGGGGTTATGGTGTGGGGGAAAGCACTTTTTCACTTGTGATTTGGAGTGCAGTGTTTAGAAATGGAAAAGGGGGTATTTGTAAAAACACATGTGGTTTTAGTACATGGAGTTTTAAAAGCCCGGGGATTCAGAGAAAGGCTTAGGGGACATGGGCATAGTGGGGCAAGTGGTGTGTACGGGGGAATCATGTTTTCCAATGCTGAATTCATTATTAGTTTGCGGGGTTGAAGATAAAGTATGCGTTTTGTCGTACTGTGGATACTGAACTTTTTGTTGGGGTTGGTTTTTACAGCCTGATGTATGCAAGGTTTGGGGATGATTTATATATTCCCTAACAACCCAATTCCCAATTCCCTTTACCCCAATTTTTTACTGTCAACTTGCTAGTCTGAGTGCAAGTTAAAAATGAAAGACATAATGACGGGAAGCACTTTGGGAATTTGAATGGGCATCAATCGGGGATCTATCACATTTTTTTAATCTGTAAACTTGAAACAAACCCCACACTGAAAAAGGGTATTCTCATCACAAAACCCTTTTTAAAAAAGCCTTGAAGGGTTGTTTAAAACAAATTGCAAAAATTTACCACACCACAAAAACACACTTTGATGTACAATGTTTTACATTTTCCGATTTGATTTTAAAAGACTGGCATCGAGAAAATACTTGTATAGGTGAGATGCTTTAAGTTTTTTTTGTCAATTTTTTTAGTATTCCCGATTTAAAACCCCGGTTTGGGCACTGTAAGAGGAAGACCTTTTATTAAAAATTGAAAAAAGGGGGATTTTGCCGATTTTAAAAAGTTTTTTCGTGTTTCAATGTCCCTTATTTGTGGAGATTCCAGCATAACTGCACGACCCCGGGAAATAATTTTTCAAAATGAAGGGTTTGGAAAAGGGGGGGAACCCTTTGGGACAACAAAAGCTTCCGAAATACCAAAAATTTTTTGAGGATGTAGACTGGGGAAAGGGAAATACGGGGCTTTGTGGGCTTTCATCTGAGGTTTAAAGGGGTAATTGTAACCGTAGCTCCCCCATTAATAACTGTTTTTTCTACAAACTTCTGGAGTTTGGGAAAAATGATAGTGGGCCAAAAGAAAATTTTCTTTTAAAAGGGGCCACACTCAAATGTGGGGATGCAGCTTTTGTTTGTATTTTTTAAACCTGCAATTCCTGCTTCACTCATTTCACATCTATTTGAACCCAGAATAAGTTTCACTACTTTGAAGGTTTATGCTGTGGGGATAGTTTTTACTTAATTCCCAATGTATTTGCATTTATTGTTTTACAAATGACTGACCCTTTCTATCATTTTAAAAGTTTTTGCTGAAGGGCAAAACAAATTTAATTTTTATTATTTAAGGTTTTTTTTAGTTCCCAAAGTTTCATTTACTTTCCTTTCATCGATAAAATTTTTTAAATAAAAAAAACAAGAGAATACTTTCAAAAAGCTTTGCTGTTTTATTAAATTGGGAAAAATTTTTTTAACCAAAATGGTTTTATCAAAAAGCTCCAAAGAAAATAAACCCCCAATTTTTTAAAAGGGCATTTCCGTGTTTAAGTATGGGAAATTCCAGTTTCTTCATATTCAAGACATTTAACTGCTTCTGTTTAATTAGTTCCAATGAGCGCCCGTACTTTTGAACAAACTATGTCCATTACCACTTACATTTCCCTTTTTTTTTCCCCAGTGCATAACATTTTTAAAAAATTTCCCAAAAAGATGACCTCCCTTAATTTTAGAAATTTCAAATTAGCAAAGGGGGAAAACCCCCCAAAAATTTTTTTAAAAAAATTTTTATCGTCCTTAAATTTTTTTTTGGGAAACTTCCCCAAACTTCCGAGACTCCTCAAAAACCTGGCTGAATTCAATTTTTTTAGAAACATTGGGTTCTCGTTGTTTTTTGTGCCCCCTCCTTTTTCCCTTTTAAAAACATTTCTTGTTTTATATAAAAACCCATGTGCGTTCCCTTTAGCCTCCCCCCTCTTTTTGTTTCCCCTGCTGCCTCTGCTCCTTTGAAGTTGCCGTGCCCTTTTTCTCTCCGCTAACTCTCGTTTTTAAAGGGTAACGGAGTAAATAAATAAAACCTTTTTCTTTTCCCCCCCATAAAACTTTAAATTTTCAGTAGGCATTACGTTATGGGAAAAATGCGCAACCTCTGGAAGCAAACTGCTCAAAATGTGTGTACTTTCTTTTTTTCCTAAGCCAGGAAAAGGAGGGTTTTAAAATTTTTGTAAAAGATTCCCTTTCCCCCTTAGGGCATACTTTTTTCCCTTTTTGTTGACTTTGGGAAAAGGGGCCCAATTCCTGGCGGACAATAGACTCTAGTTTCACAATTCTGAAAATGACTTCCACCTTCATCACTCTCATCACTAGTATACCCTGTGGAATATGGAACTTTAAGACTACCTTTTCTTTTACGAGTTTCATAAGCATTTCCATGAGGGTGTTCAATGTATTTACGCTTGATACCTGATGTAGTAGGATAAACTGAACTAGTATGATTGCTGCACATTAATGAAGTTTTCAATGACTTGACAACAGGCCTACAGCAAGAGCTATTTGAAGTTGTTTGTTCTCCGAGATTATCTTTCCCATGTAGATTACTTCCTTCATTCAATAATCTTGAGGAATTTTCAAAATCTGTACCAAATGGTAAAGACATTAACTGTTCACCTCCACTTCTATTTCTTACTCTCTGAAATGCAGATGAACTATCCAGTACATTAGTTCCTTCACATATTCTTTGTTTCTCATAGTCTACAATTCTTAACTGCTTAGGTGTAGAATGGTATGAACAAAGCAATGCAGAGGAATTATATGGAATTGGATCTGTATTTAATTCCCTTGGATAGGGATGACTTTTGGATAAATGATACTGAGCTCTGGACCGCTGGTGTTGGGGTATGCAATTAATTGAGGGATCATGTTCATTTTTTGTCAACCTTATATATGCAGTATTTTTCTGTTGACAATGATAATCAGACTCTGGTTGAACATTTTTCTCTTCTTTAGCAGGATGAGAATTAAAAATCAGTGGCGCATCAATGCCCCTTTGTCTCTCCACTGCATCACCTTCACTCATTACCCTCTTTCTACTTCTAAAATCAGAGTCCAAGCTGCGAATTTGAATATTTTGCCTACCCTCTGCATGGATATGAAAAAAATGGTCATCTAACATATGAGATGATGCAAATTTCTTATTACAGAATTTGCACACCAGATGCTCCAGTGGCTTAGAACTTCTATAACACTGTTGAAAATGAAGAGATAGGTTACTAACAGTTGAAAATTTAAGCTGGCAACCTTCCACAGGGCATGAAGCACAACCAGTAGTAATGATGTCTTGATTCCACTGCAGTTCTAGCTGCTCTTGATCAAGAACCCTGCAAAAAAAAAAAAAAAAAAAAAAAATATAAGAAAAACCAAAACTAGTCAGACAAAATAAAAATATATGTTTAAGAATTTGTACATAATGTACATAGGTGTAATGAAAATTAATGGATGTTTATGAAATGTATGCCCTTCCTGGGAGTAAATTTTTGCTAAATTCTCAAATGAGAACCAAATCATGATACATGTTACATATTACAATGAGAAAAATTTAATATTGTAAGTTGTGTTATGGTTTTATGAACCACTAAAAAGACGAGGTGTGAGGTAGTTCAACTATGCTTGGTAGGTCGCTAAGGGAGACCTAATTTAACCAATTATATGGTCACACCTTGCCTTAGCAAATGGACGTCAGACACGCCTATTCGGCTTAAGTCTGAGGTCTTTTGTTCTTGACAGCATCAGACCTCGGCATCAGGTCATAACACGTGGTCTACACCTTATGGGGAACAGGGTGCTTCGAGGACCATATAAGCCAGGGAACAGCTGAGCAAGGAGGTTGTTGGAGACAGGTCTGGTGAGCGAGAGCTCTGGACAGCGACATGTGTAGTGGATCACACATTGGGAATCTCGGGTCAGCTGGTCGGTGAATTAAGAGCGAGTACTAGTCCGTGTTACTGATAACATCTACCCTTCCCTCTGGTAATAAGTCTCATAGGTCAATTGTTATCTTATGTATATTTCCATCAGGATATGTCATATTCTAGCCCTTTAATGTTATGCTGGGATACCTCAGGGAGAGTGGGTAAAGGTCTCACAGAGGAACCTGTTGGTATAACCCGTATAACATCAATATATGACTAGCTCACAAGTTGCCCAGTAAGTCATCTGTTTACATCTTATTTGCACACCAGTCCTCCCATTTTTGACTCGGCTTCCAAATCCATTATCTAGTTGCTCCATTCAATAAAAAAATCTCAACATGAAGAACATCAATAATTTATGCGAACCTTTAACTGACATCTCCTACATGGAGGACAGTAATCAACATTATTTTTTTCAAGGAACATAGCATTCAAGCAGGATGAGATGCTCAGTGGGTTCGTGTTTTTCTCTCTTTTTTTTTTAGAAGCTGATAATACTTTGCCATATGATGTCACTAAGAAGGGAACAAATTCTATGTAAAATTGTTCCCTAAAGTATCCTTAGCCACTAAAAATTACACTAAGTGAATTTTTGCTTACTGGGGAATTACTATAACAAGAAATGTGAAACATTTTATGAAGATCAGACAATTTGAGATCACAGTTAAAGCACTTCAAACCATTTTATTTCTTAACAGTCACCAGAAGGCACACATAGCCTAAATTCAGTAAGAGGATGCATTCTTTGAACATATGAAGTTATAGTAGAGAGAAGCAATTTAAAAGAATTGTCAAAAAATGAAGTTGGAGAAGAAAAAAAAAAAGGGCAAAAAGCCTTAAGTATCCCAGCAAACGGTAAAATATCTTTTATCGAGGTTATAATTTCATACCTAGACAACGTAACCTATTCCAAGAAATTTGGAGGTAATAAAAACTTGATTCATAAAGTTGTTTTCAAGAGGACACTCACTTCGAGGATGGACACAATTTTGATGTCCCACAAGTAGAACACTGATGAAAATCTCTTCCGTCATCATCTTCTGATACCTGTAAACATAAGTGTAATTCACTATCAATATTAAACACAAGTTTCACACACTTTTTTTTTTTAACAAGTCGACCATCTCCCACTGAGGCAGGGTGACCCAAAAAAGAAAGAAAATCCCCAAAAAGAAAATACTTTCATCATTCAACACTTTCACCTCACTCACACATAATCACTGTTTTTGCAGAGGTGCTCAGAATACAACAGTTTGGAAGCCTCTATGTATAAAGATACACAACATATCCCTCCAAACTGCCAATATCCCAAACCCCTCCTTTAAAGTGCAGGCATTGTACTTCCCATTTCCAGGACTCAAGTCTAGCTATATAAAAATAACCGGTTTCCCTGAATCCCTTCACTAAATATTACCCTGCTCACACTCCAACAGATCGTCAGGTCCCAAATACCATTTGTCTCCATTCACTCCTATTGAACACGCTCACGCACAATTGTTGCAAGTCCAAGCCCCTTGCCCACAAAACCTCCTTCACCCCCTCCCTCCAACCTTTTCAAGGATGATCCCTACCCCGCCTTCCTTCCCCTACAGATTTATACACTCTCCATGTCATTCTTTGATCCATTCTCTCTAAATGACCAAACCACCTCAACAACTCCTCTTCTGCCTCTGACTAATACTTTTATTAACTCCAAACCTTCTCCTAATTTCCACACTACAGATTTTCTGCATAATATTCACACCACACATTGCCCTTAGACAGGACATCTCCCCTGCCTCCAACTGCCTCCTCGCTGCAGCATTTACAACCCAAGCTTCACACCCATATAAGAGTGTTGGTACTACTATACTTTCATACATTCCCTTCTTTGCCTCCATAGATAACGTTTTTTGTCTCCACATATACCTCAACGCATCACTCGCCTTTTTTCCTTCATCAATTCTATGATTAACCTCATCCTTCATAAATCCATCCGCTGACACGGCAATATCTGAAAACATTCACTTCTTCCATACTCCTCCTCCCCAATTTGATATCCAATTTTTCTTTATCTATATCATTTGATACCCTCATGATCTTACTCTTTTCTATGTTTACTTTCAACTTTCTACCTTCACACACACTCCCAAACTTATCCACTAACCTTTGCAATTTTTCTTTAGAATCTCCCATTAGCACAATATCATCAGCAAAAAGTAACTGTGTCAATTCCCATTTTGAATTTGATTCCCCATAACTTAATCCCACCCCTCTCCCGAACACCCTAGCATTTACTTCTTTTACAACCCCATTTATAAATATATTAAACAACCATGGTGACATTACACATCCCTGTCTAAGACCTACTTTTACCGGGAAGTAGTCTCCCTCTCTTCTACACACCCTAACCTGAGCCTCACTATCCTCATAAAAGCTCTTTACAGCATTTAGTAACTTACCACCTATTCCATAAACTTGCAACATCTGCCACATTGCTCCTCTATCCACTCTATCATATGCCTTTTCTAAATCCATAAATGCAATAAAAACTTCCCTACCTTTATCTAAATACTGTTCACATATATGTTTCAATGTAAACACTTGATCTACACATCCCCTACCCACTCTGAAGCCTCCTTGCTCATCCGCAATTCTACATTCTGTCTTACCTCTAATTCTTTCAATTATAACTCTACCGTATACTTTTCCTGGTATACTCAGTAAACTTATTCCTCTATAATTTTTACAATCTCTTTTGTCCCCTTTCCCTTTATATAAAGGAACTTTACACGCTCTCCGCCAATCCCTAGGTACCTTCCCCTCTTTCATACATTTATTAAACAAAAGTACCAACCACTCCAACACTATATCCCCCCCTGCTTTTAACATTTCTGTCATGATCCCATCAGTTCCAGCTGCTTTACCCCCTTTCATTCTACGTAATGCCTCACGTACCTCCACCACACTTACATTCTGCTCTTCTTCACTCCTAAACGATGGTATACCTCCCTGGCCAGTGCATGAAATTACCGCCTCCCTTTCTTCCTCAACATTTAAAAGTTCCTCAAAATATTCTCGCCATCTACCTAATACCTCCCTCTCCCCATCTACTAACTCTCCTACTCTGTTTTTAACGGACAAATCCATACTTTCCCTAGGCTTTCTTAACTTGTTTAACTCACTCCAAAATTTTTTTTCTTATTTTCAATAAAATTTCTTGACAGTGCCTCTCCCACTCTTTCATCTACTCTCCTTTTGCACTCTCTCACCACTCTCTTCACCTTTCTTTTACTCTCCATATACTCTGCTCTTCTTATAACACTTCTGCTTTGTAAAAACCTCTCGTAAGCTACCTTTTTCTCTTTTATCACACCCTTTACTTCATCATTCCACCAATCACTCCTCTTTCCTCCTGCCCCCACCCTCCTATAACCACAAACTTCTGCCCCACATTCTAATACTGCATTTTTAAAACTATTCCAACCCTCTTCAACCCCCCCACTACTCATCTTTGCACTAGCCCACCTTTCTGCCAATAGTCGCTTATATCTCGCCCGAACTTCCTCCTCCCTTAGTTCATACACTTTCACCTCCCTCTTACTTGTTGTTGCCACCTTCCTCTTTTCCCATCTACCTCTTACTCTAACTGTAGCTACAACTAAATAATGATCTGATGTATCAGTTGCCCCTCTATAAACATGTACATCCTGGAGCCTACCCATCAACCTTTTATCCACCAATACATAATCTAACAAACTACTTTCATTACGTGCTACATCATACCTTGTATATTTATTTATCCTCTTTTTCATAAAATACGTATTACTTATTACCAAATTTCTTTCTACACATAGCTCAATTAAAGGCTCCCCATTTACATTTACCCCTGGCACCCCAAATTTACCTACTACTCCCTCCATAACATTTTTACCCACTTTAGCATTGAAATCCCCAACCACCATTACTCTCACACTTGATTCAAAACTCCCCACGCATTCACTCAACATTTCCCAGAATCTCTCTCTCTCCTCTACACTTCTCTCTTCTCCAGGTGCATACACGCTTACTATAACCCACTTTTCACATCCAATCTTCATTTTACTCCACATAATCCTTGAATTTATGCATTTGTAGTCCCTCTTTTCCTGCCATAGCTTATCCTTCAACATTATTGCTACTCCTTCTTTAGCTCTAACTCTATTTGAAACCCTGACCTAATCCCATTTATTCCTCTCCACTGAAACTCTCCCACCCCCCTTTAGCTTTGTTTCACTTAAAGCCAGGACATCCAGTTTCTTCTCATTCATAACATCCACAATCATCTCTTTCTTATCATTTGCACAACATCCACGCACATTCAGACTTCCCACTTTGACAATTTTCTTCTTCTTATTCTTTTTAGTAATCTTTACAGGAAAAGGGGTTACTAGCCCATTGTTCCCGGCATTTTAGTTGACTTTTTACAACACGCATGGCTTACGGAGGAAAGATTCTTATTCCACTTCCTCATGGATATAAAAGGAAAAGTAATAAGACCAAGAACTATTAAGATAAAATCAAAGAAAACTCAGATGAGTGTGTATAAATAAACATGTACATGTATGTGTAGTGTGACCTAAGTGTAAGTAGAAGTAGCAAGACGTACCTGTAATCTTGCATATT